CTCATTAGGTGAAGCTCCATATCCAGTATTTATTGTTACGATCAGTGACTGACAAACTAGCAAAAGTTATCTAGCTATAATCTATCTTTTACAAAAAAATATTTAAAACACCTTTCTCCCGATGGTACTTTTACCAATTTTATCGCTTGTCTATTCTCCAGCTGTCCAGCGAAGAACAACTGGAGAAACTCCAAGATGACACTACACATAGCGGATCTCAGAATTGAAATAACGTAGAAAAACACTGAAGGGGTTAGAATTTGTCACTAATTTGTCTTTAAAGTATGTGTACTGCCATTCTACCACTTTGACGGCTCTCCAGTCGTTTTTCGCTGGACAGCTAGAGAGACTGGTGACAAAATGAGTAAAAGTACCATCCTTCAACAACAAATTATAGCCCTTACAGTATTTCCTTACGCTATTTCTGTTTCGAAATACGTCATGTAATTGACATAGTCCGCAATAAAACTGTCGCATTTACTTTTTTATTTCAACTTATTAACTAGGCTGGAGTAGTTGCTGTCAGAACGTTTACTTTTAGTCACGACATACGATGCAGGGAAAATTGTAAGCATAGAAAAGAGGTGCCAGGTAGGAATTGCAGCGGACACCAAAAAAGAAAAAGGAATAACATTACACCAATTGATGTGCAACAAAAAGAGATGCAGACAGGCAGAATTTGAGCATGTTGCTAGCATCGGACTTTAAACAAAGTTCAACATTTTCAGGAATTTAGGAAAGCTTTTTTAATGATATAATTCCAACCAGGCAGTTTATAAAGCCGATCCTGATCTTTAGCATACCTAAGCAACCGCTGCACCGCATACTATTGTAGCGAGCACGAGTGTGTTTGTGTGCGATCGGGCACGCGTGTGGGTGAACGACTTATCGATTCGCCGACTAGCCGCGGGCACCTTTCTTCATGTGCGCCGTATTTGTAAATGTGTGTGTCGTACCTGCTTTCTGGGAAAGCAGTTAAACAGTTCAAAGAAAAAATAAACTATCCGAATGTTTCCAGAAGGTTCCAGAAAGTAAACAAAAGAGTATTTAAAGGAAGAGACGATCGCCGAGATAAGGAGAAATAAATTGACCGTTGCAGAAGTCAATTCAGAAATAAATTGACAGTGATAGCAGTGAAATACATAGAATAATTCATAACCTAAGTTTAGTAATAATTTAATACGGTTTTTAAGTTAACCCACGAACATTACACTATTATTCGGTTATCTCTTTTCGCTTTGTCTGCACTACTCATGAATTACTCAACTTAACAATAGCATGTTCAAAACGCTGCAAATGACTACAGGCTCAAATGTAAACAAGAAAGATGTCTAATAAATAATTTATTGATCGTCCCAACTATACCATCTATCTTTCAGTGATAAAATCCAGCCCTTGCAAGTAAACACACCATTTCTATTTCGAATTACGATATATGTAATTGATCAGGACACTCTCGATTTTAATCCTATAACTTCGTAAATCATACAAAGTGTACATTGGTCTTACAGCAAAGAAGTTTAAAATGCCATCAAATTAACTGTTTATTAGAAGACAGATTATATGTAGTACAAGATAAGCTTAATTAAATATGGTCTTCAAATTGCTGCTGCATTCTTTCTGGAATTGTTTTTATTTTCAAAACAGTTGTAAACAACGCGTTAATAAGTAAATAATTAACTTCAAAACAAATTGCGAAATTGTTTACAGGAAATTTTTCGTAATAAACTCCATGAATTTGCAAGTGTAGCAATTTGCAAAATTGTGACACATTAGCAGCTATACATGTCGAATAAAAACTGTTTTATCACAAAACGGTGCTAATACCGTTAACTTGCAAACAAGATAAAGTTTAATAACTTTCCTACGTTTGTGATATGACTTGCAAAAAAAAGCCACAATAATCACCAAAGTAAAAAATAATACAACAAAAACAATTACAATCGAATATTAGAGGCATTGCACTACTTTACACTTTCTTTTTTGTATAGGTGAACTTAAAAAGAACTTTTAACAAACTTTTAGTGCACAAAGACAACATAACTATTAATAAAGTAATTGATGATGTTTACAGTAAATTGAAAATAGCATACAAGGCTTTATCTTTGAATAACCAGGTAAACATCTATGTAAATACAAGAATATACCTAGCTACACTAATAGTTGAGTTGAGACCCAAACATAGGAATATTTTATTACAAGCGACAGCTACTTTTCAAAAATACGATGTGGTACAGAAAAATTCGTATGAATATCTCATATAAATTATAAAGTAATTAAGTCCAATAAATGCAGTTTTAAGCTCTTGGGGGTTGTTACGAGCTTTATTCAAAAGATTTTGAGAGTTCAATTAGTTTAGAACAGTTTTTAGAAATGTAGGTGATATTTTCAAATAGAAAATATAATGTACACGTTCACTAAATTACACTGTTGCTGGTGCGATATTAAATTTAAGAACAATACAACGTGTAATTATGCAACACGCTACTGAAGTGAAACTTCGTCAAACACACAAACATACCGGGATAGGGGTTAAGGAATTGGTTTAATGGTATTATTTATACACTATGCTTCGCACGGGTGCAATGCTGATAGTAAATCTACTATAGAATGTCTTTATATTCAACAATCACAGCTCATTAGACAGTACAAACCGGCCGGTACCGCCGCAACCGCTACGTCCCTGCATTTTAATTCATTCGTTTAAATTACATGCTGTAAAGAGCCATATGATGAGCCATAAATGCACAATGTATTTAAAAATACTTAATTGGATAAGGATTAATGCTATATTGCTTAAAATCGCTTCGTAAATAAGCCATTATTTCTCCTAAAAAGTAGAGGATAAAAAATGGTTATTGTGGGTTATCCCTAAGAGATAGACATACACTATCGCGGACTTGTTTGTAGACCTTTTTAAGGTGTACAATACTGTAGTACATTATTTTGATCTATCTCGTAGGGTTCGTCCAACGTTTGCAATGTAGGAGGGGTAGAGGTAGACCTAGATTAGATTACTCTTCGCAAATAGTTAAGGATGTGGCTTGTTCTAGTTTTAGGGAAATGCGAAGTTTAGCTAAGGATAGGAAAGAGTGGAGGTACGTGTCCAACCAGTCTTAGGACTGATGACCTTATGATGATGATGACGTAGTTTTAAAGATCTAAGCATACATAGGGACAGACAGCAGGGGAAATGCGTTGCATGATTTCGTTACATAGCAACTCGCATGAAACGAACTTACCTTACCGTGCGTAAAGAAGTTTCACTTCAAAAAAGATTCCGATAGAATAATGGATCATTTTTATGTTCTGTGGACATTTTGTATTACCTAGATTATGCCTGGTAATAGCGGATAAACTTTCAACATAGTGTGAAAGACCCCAAAACACTTTCAAAAAATTGAATGTCAACAAAAGCATACATACAAAAAATTAAGTCAAATTAGGTATAATCAACTATCATGATTGTCGATTATGTCGATAACAGAAAGTTAAGATCTGAGCAAATCCAAACAAGAGGAATTACGTTGTTTGATACTGAATTTATAACTTAACAAGCTTTAAATTCAACATGAAAGAACATGTTAGTGATTAGCAAAATGCAAGACCAAGACCAAGACTGTTTCTACATTAGCAATAACAAGACCAAAACCAAATGAACAAGACCATGACTAAAACCAAGACCAAATATGCAAGACCCAGGCCAAATACGTAAAAATAAACAAAAAATTATTACTTCCAGTGGATTTATGAGTTAAACTATTTAAAGCAAATTTAATATATTTTTTCGTTTCGTTTTCACAGGTTTACTGCAAATTACGATTTGGTTTTTACACAGACCGCATATAGAGGCAATGATGCCCAGCCATGTGGAGAGCAGAGGCAAGAAAACAACAGCTGAGCACAGCACACGCCGCCGAGAATCTAGCGGACTCCCCGCTCTCCACGCGGCTGCGCATTATATCCATCTAATACAGCCGTTGCCCTCTCACCGCCGCCGCCAGCCTTTTTCTCCTTCCGCCGCTGCCGCCTCTCACCACGCGATATAAAGTCTACCCCCTCCACGCGGCCGTAACGAATTTTTGTAACAGAAAAAAATCATAGTACCCCGTCTGTAGAAAAAGCAAACGTCGATTGCAATGCTTTTCCTTATGTACTGCTGTACCACATTTTTTAATGAATAAACTCTTAATGGTTTTAAGATATTTAATTCATTAGCACAAAAAACGGAATATTTACAAAATAAGTACAACGTAAAACTATCGTGGAACTAACTAACAAATAAACTAAACTAATTGAACGAAGAAATATATACAATGAAAATACAAAATGAAAAAATGTATAAGGACTTGATTGGGTTGAAATGTGATGAATGAATTGAGCTGACTGACTGACTGGTTTTTGCCTAAATTAACTGTTTATATAAATATGGAAGTAAATAGCTAGAAAGTAGATACATAATTCGCTGAAGAATATATAATGTATTTGTAGCATAATGGATATAACGAGCGAGACGACTGAAACTACCTTCATTTGGGAAAGCCAGATGAGGGTTGCAAATTGAATTGTAAAATGACCCAAATGGTCGAACATGACTATGAGTAACTTAGAATTAAAAGTGACAAATTTGCAAACTAAAATAAAATTTTATATCTAGCTATACTTGTTGTAAAAGTCTTTGATAAAACCGAACACCGTCTATATAGAAGTTTCACTTCAAAAATTATCGGGTTCGCAGACTCATTTAGTTGTTCTTATCAACCCTATCGTAACGTTTTGTGAAGTTCAATTTAATAACACCTTTCCTAACCGATACGTAAAAAGAACGCATTTCGCCGACGTCCACGTTCAGTTTATCTACGTCGCTAGAGGAATAAGGTAAATCCAAAATCTTCAAAAACTGCGTTACGTAATATTTGAACGGTCCCTTAGGTACCTACTTTTTATAATTCTTTTTGTTAAATTTCATTTTCAATTAAAATACTAATATAATACACTACCTTAACTCTCGCAAAACGTTTCTTCCAAGATCTGACTCCAGACTGCCAGATAAGGTGAAGTACTTCTCTGTCGAAGTTCACATCCCATCCTTCGTGAGTGACAGTGAATGAAAATGCAACAGCAGAATGGGCTTCTGCCATAGTCACTTGTCACCTGGAAAAAATAAATACATTTGAAATTTTCGTTTTCTATAAAAATATGTAGCTGTAAAAAAATTATCATGTCGAGCCTAATAAGAGCACACAACGTAGTCAATTTTTGCTGATATTTTGAAAATTTTGAATGCCGCCGCGCAAATATAAAACCAGACCTGACCTGACCTAACCTGAGCCGACCTGACCTTACCTGACCTAACCTGACCTGACCTGACCTGACCTGACCTCACCTCACCTGACCTGACCTGACCTGACCTGATCTAACCTGACCTGACCCGACCTGACCTGACCTGACCTGACCTGACCTAACCTCACCTGACGAAACCTGACCTGACCTAACCGATAAAACGCAAGGGTCAATCTGCGGACTTTATTTCACAATATAACTGAATAGAATATACAGGATGTTCGATAAATAACAAATGGTCCTCCATCCGTGTATGGAACAACCCCAGGTCCACAGTTTTCAAATTACTTGAACTTTTCTTGACCTCTTAGTCAATCTTTTAGATACTATGACCGCACATGAAGAAATATCATAATTTCCTTAAAAAGGAAAAACAGAAAGGGCAGCAATTTCCGACGAAATTTAAAACTCAGATGAAATTAGCCTTCAAGGTTCCTTTAATGTCAGGATTTTAACATATCCTAACATCATAACTTGAAATATTGCAATTTTTGACTATTTTTAGAGAATTACAATTAAAACAATTAGGAGAGTAATCATTTCTCAGACAACTTTTATCTTTTGATTTCAGAATTTCCCCAGCACATCAACATTTGGAAGCATCAACTTCAAAATTCACACAATTAATATTTGTCTTGGTTTCACTTGGATGAGGGATAATTTAGTAAGACAATTCTGGTTTCAGATTTAAGTTAGCTTACTACCCTTTTCGTGTCTTTTCTTTTTAACCCGTCGTCTTTATCGAATGCACTCCAAAAGACTTGAAAAAAGAAAAAACATCAGAAAGGATGTATTCGTCAACGACAAACTCCAACCTGGCCCCATCAGAAAAGCCTCTAACACATTAAAATCTCAATGCATACAAAATAAATTAAGGTATTTTTGAGGATTTTGAGACTAATATTTCAATATCTTAATCTATTGGAGCATGATTTCTCATATTTATGGTCCCATGTACCTTTATTAAGTTTTCTGAACAATTAATCTTACTATATAAGAAAATAATGTTTTTTTATTTAAATAAAAGGTGATAAAGGGATAAAGAGTATGTCGTTAATTAATGAAATTTATAAATTTGTTTCTTGTCACAAACAACAACAATAACTAATAACACAGGCCAACGACGAAAAAACTTTTTTAATATTTTTAACTAATTTCTATGTAATTTGGTGTGCTGATTCCGAAAAAAATAACGAAAAAGTCGTATCACCCTCCATTTTCTCACATTTCAATATTAAATAAAAGTAAATTTTATTAACCAAAATGTATAACAAATATTTTTAACCGTTAAAATATTTTTATGTTGGCAATATTTTCTAGTGTTATAGTGTTGACAATAATATAAAATGTAATCAGGTTGGTAGTTCTGATAAGTTGCGCATTTTTTTGTTTCCTTAGCCTTTAAGAAAAAATTTGACACCCGGCCAGAAGAATATTTTGCATACAACTTTGGTTGACCCCACAAAGATTCTTTTACCACCACTACACATTAAGTTGTTTTTAATGAGGCAATTTGTAAAAGCTTTGCCTAAAGATGGTGATTGTTTTAAATATTTATGTAGAAAATTTCTTCATTTATCAGAAGCTAAACTGAAAGATAGGGATTTTCGTTGCGCCTGATATTCGTAAATTGATGCTCGATGCAACGATGAGTACAAAGGAAAAAGAGGCTTGGATATCATTTAGAGAAGTTGTGACGAAGTTTTTCGGCAATGTAAAAGATCTTAACTATGAACTTATCATATCTAACATGATAAACAATTTTAAAAATCTTGGTTGTCTGATGAGCCTTAAAGTCCACTTTTTGCACAACCATCTTGACTTTTTTCCTACAAACTTAGGTGATGTCAGTGAAGAGCAAGGGGAACGGTTTCATCAGGACATCAAAGAAATGGAGAAACGATACCAAGAAAGGTGGAATGTAAACATGATGAGTGATTACTGTTGGACACTTCACAGAGAGCAACAGGTTGCTTCACATCGGGGAGAAAAAGCTATGCAAGAAACTTTACAGAGAGAAGAGAGAGAAAATACAAAAAACATATATCTAATATTCAGTAATCTATTATTTGTAAGAGAACATTTTAACTTTATTAAGAACTAAATTTGTTAATTTTTAATTATCAAATTTTTCCCTGTTTTTTGAAATATACAATTATACAATACACATTGTCATATTGTGAGAAAATTGTAGGTGATATATCGAATACGATTTCAGCACTAAAAAATACATAAGATTTAGGTAAATTAGTTTAAAAAGTTTTTACAAACATTTTTTTTGTTGGCCTGTGTAATCCGCATACCCTACAATGTAAAACCGTCTACCGGAGCAATCCTTAAACCAGATTTTGTTCAGCGATAAAAGTTAAGTTGGTTTGATTAGTTTATTGTATTCATATAGCAATGCTTCGAAGGTTGAAGGTGAAAAGTCAAAAAATTGCATTCTTGGGTTTTAAGATGAACTATAACATGCTGAAGCAATTCGGAAGCAGCGAATTTATGGTGTGTTCCGAAATATAACCCAACATATTGGCCAGTGCTGATGACGTCATAAATCGACGCCATATTGTACTGGTGTGCCACCATATTGTACTGGTGAGACAGATGTGATGTAGCAGTATATCAAACGGGCGTGTGTGCATCAGACTTTGAGGAATTTTTTATTGTAAGAAACTTTAATAACTTTTAGAGCAAAATTAGTGTAAACGAGCACAATCACTATTGTCAATATGGCGTCAATTTGACATCAACGCACTGGCCAGTATATTTCGGAACGAATCAACAGTATGTCGTCGATTCACGACGTCATCAGCACTGATCAGTATGCTGGGTTATATTTCGGAACACACCCTTAGATTTAGTTTCGCAAACCACGATGGAAACGACATCTCTTGTCTTGGTTTCCTGATGCCTCCATCTTGACCATTGATAATAAACTTTTACTGATGCTATACGTTATTTAGAAATTATGGATAACTACTGTAGTTTTTATTAAATAAAAAACTTAAATATTAAATTTTTGGAAAATACCACAAATGGCGTGGTGAGCGCCATCTGTAGTACGATGCTACATTTTAGGATTACGTATGCTCCAACAAGGTCCATTTAAATTTTTGTTTGACTTTTTACCCGCACAGATGCTTAGGAAAGAAAATATTAAAAAAGTTAGGTAGGTACGTTTTACCAACATAAAATAAAAAAAGGCGAACATTGATAACAAAAGAAAGAGTGTTAATGGCGCAAGTCTAATAAAACATCATGAATCACGACAAATAAAACAAAAGGTAAAACGTTTCGATATCCATTGTTTCATTTATTATAATGTTTCATCAAACTTGCACCGTAACATTTTTTCCTTTGTTTTTTTATATTACATTTCCTTTTTGATAAGGTTTCCGCTAAAAAGTGAACTACTTTTCAAATCCATAATTGAAGATCTCAGGATCTCAGGGTCATCCAGACAACTGAATTTTAAAAAAATAAAAAGTTCCACATTATTCAAGTAATTTAGACATTTTTTAAGATTTTGTTGTACATTTCAATTTGTTTCATTACTACGTACATACAATTTAAAAAATCATCTTTATAATAATCCTTAAAAAAAATCGATCTCTTATTTTTACATTTTCCATAGAAATAAACATACGTGTAGGTTACTTTGCACCTACTAAACGCAAAAGTTAAAACTAACTTGACATATTCCATCAACAATACAATTTTCACTGTCTCTCGTCAACTTTCACAAAATGTTAAATTGACTGGACTGTCATTTGCAATTAATATGAGGCACGTGGAATTTAGAAAGCAGAATAAAAATCTATTTAAGCTTCCTTAAGTGTATCATGTCATTAAACAATTGCTTAATGAAAACCTTTAACAATAAATTTAATGACAAACAACTAGACTTCTACAGGTTTATTTATACTCATGCCCAATACATAATATATGTATGGTAAGTCCGTAGGTATAGAATACATACTTTCGTCTGGGGACCAATGGGGCATTGCTGGATTCATACATAGCCTAATTACCTATACGTATTAGCGTAAATAAAACTTTCACTTTACAATAAATCAGCATTCTGTCAAAATTGTCAGACTTAAACCATGATAATACTGGTATTGTCTGAACCTAGTCTTTATAATGACTTTTCAGACCTCTTTGAAGTTGGTATTGCAAAATTAGCAAGCAAAAATGAAAATCATAGGATAATTAGCCGTAAATTAGCCTCGAAAGCCAAAAATTAGCCGCGACCCAGGAAACCCGAAAATCAGTTTGCATGCCAACTTCAAATGAAGTTAGTAACCACTTCAAATAAAATTAGCAACCAAGCTTATAATTAGCCGTTAATTAATCGCTGACGATGTATTCCACTAACTGTGGGGTTCGATTTTTTACGCACGGTAGGGTAAGTTCGTTTCATGCGAGTTACTATGTAACGAAATCATGCAACGCATTTCCCCCGCTGTCTGTCCCTATGAATGCTTAGATCTTTAAAACTACGCAACGGATTTTAATGCGTTTTTATTTAATAGATAGAGTAATTCAAGAGGAAGGTTTATATGTATAATACATGCATAATATAGTAGAGAAACACTAATAATTTTAGAGGTTTGTAATGTGATGTAAATAAACACATTTTTTTTGCGCTTGCATTGCAAACGCTGGCTAAATAATATACTACAGTATTGTACACCTTAAAAGGTCTACAAAAAAGTCCCTAGTGGTATATGTCTATCTCTTAGGGATAACCCACAATAACCATTTTTTATCCTTTACTTTTTACGAGAAATAATAGCTTATTTACGAAG